TTCCGATTAGTTAATAAATTTAATTTTGCTAACGTAGAAACATTTTGATTTTGACCTGTTTGTTGTTATAGTTAGATTTTTAAACAAAATTTTGTTCTGAACCCAAGACACTTTATTTAGACAATGCTGAAATAGGATATTTTGCCAATTCCAAAACTTATCTTCCCATTCCAAAACTTATCTTCCATATATTTTCAAATTGGCATGTTAGTCAAAACCGATCCTTATTTGCTGAAAGTTTTGGTTTCAAGAGATCATTATGTTTTCAATAGAGAAACTTTTTATGCAAAAAATTCCTGACTAGCTCTGCTTGGTAACAAGGTCCTTTTGAATATCAGTGGGATTTAGATACCTCAGTCCCTTAGTCTTTTCTTTGAAAATCCTAGCCCTAGTCACTATCCAGATTGTGTGATACTCTTTTACCACACACCCATGCTGGAAGCAGTGACATGAAGGATTTCTTATGTTCTGTTGTCTGGTGATGTCTGTTCCCTGCATCTTTCCCAAGGCACAGGGAAAAACTTTACGTGATTTTCACAAGTGAAATGAGTGCTCACAGTCTGAAAACTGGAGACAAAAGAGTTTCTTGTCATGTGGCACTATGGAAAGAACTTCTAGTTCATTTCAGGACTGGTAGAAAATAGATTCCAATGATAGTTTTATTTTAATTTCCTCACAGTGATTCCAGATTGACTCAATTGCTGGAAGAAGCCCTGGGTGGAAACAGCAAGACCAGAGTTATTTGTTGTCTGTCTCCCTCCCTAGATTCCTGGCATCTAGCCACCATGCTGAAAATGTGCATAGCTCTCTCACAAGTCAAGAACTTCCCTGTTGTAAATAGCTATTGTATGGAGGTATGGTATGGTTTCCTTTGGCCTTCCTGTTGCCTTTTCTTGAGAGAAATCAAAACTTTCAATAGGGTTGGGTTTAAACTCTACCACCAAGGTTCAAAGCATAATGTTCTCTGGGTGGCTAATGGAGATTAAAACTGGAGTTGACTTAAGGCAGGGGTGGGCAATTATTTCAGCTGGAGGGCCGCTTAATGACTTCTGATGAGCTGTCCAAGGCTGCAAGGGTAGACCCACTGCTTGACAGCTACCCCACCCCCTGATCGCCATCTTGAGACCAGAAGTCCCGCCCCTTAACCCCTGACCCTTGCCACCAGAAGTGCACCTTTTGGGAGTGGGGTTTGCTATCTTGGAACTGGAAAAAAACCCCAAAACTTATTAAAAATCAAATATCTACTATAACATATTATAATTTTATTTAAAAAAAATGTTTTTGTCCTGATTTAGGTGTATTTGCATAGTGTATATAGAGATGATTGCATAATAGCTCAAAATAAAGTCTTACTCTTGTATAT